ATTTACAATTTGTTATGAAATGCTGTTTACCAGCTGGTAGGATGGTATGCCCAAGACTTTGTCTATTGCTCTTTTCTAGCCTGGTTACAACTTCACAAACTTATAGAGGCAAACCCACAGCTGTTTAAGCCCATCAAATAAGTGGTTTACAAGAAAAGGCATAATCAGTAGTATCAAGTATTTTGTCAATTATATTAGCAACATAAAATTAAAATGATGACTATTTGACAAGAGACTTTTTTAAGATACCACATTTGCATAATGCTTGTCTTTTCATACTATAGAAAGCAACAAGACATCACAGAAGAGATATATCCATTATTCATGAATTTAATCTGAATGGCATGTGGAAAATAAGACTGAGCTAGATTTTAAATTGTTAGAGTGATTTTTTTTTAAATACAAGCAATTATTGTTTGTTGTTTTTTAACTAATCCTATTTCTTCAGTCTGATTCATTATATGAATTTGCAGTTAGAAAATGAAATATCTTTTTATTAACTTCAGTATAATGGACACCTTATATGACTCAGACTGCTGAGAGTAAACAATTCAGGCTGAATTATCCTGTCACATCTGTGAGGCTGATTAGACGTAAACATCAGTCATGACTATTCAGGTTTACTGTAGTGCATGTGGCTTCTCCAGAGGCCCCTGTACTATGAGCATGGATGTTGTCTGAGGCTGCTTATCAGAAATATGTAAGTTTCAAAAGGTAAAAGTAATTCAGAAGAAGAGTCATGTTTTTCTCTTGGTCCATCTTGGTTTTGCAGGCAAGAACTGTTTCTTTGGTTTACAGTTTGCACTATTTCTCAGTGCAGGAATAGTGACAAGATGTAATGATCAGTGGAGGAGACAAACAAGACAAGTCCATACCTGCTTACCCAAATAGTATATGCAACAACTACGTGACAAAATATAATGCCTGAAATTTAGTTTGTTCAAAATGTTTTTTCTCTCTTTCTAGTGAAAAATTCCAATGAAGCAACTCAGTTGTTCAGATCAACATCTCTAAAGCTGCAGCTTGCATCTCTGAAATGCAGACGAGATTGTGTTGCATCAATGCTAAAGCTCCATCAATTCCCTCTCACAGCTGCCCCAGTGAGATGTTAGGACATCTCTTACTCTATTCAGGCTTTTTATATCCAAGTCTTACATGTCTCAGCTCGACCAAGATCTTTCTCATTTCTGACCCTACAGCTTTATATTCTTTAAAGATAATGGTGTACTTTGCAGACTGTTATCTAGTAATAGTGACTCTGAAACTGGATTGGTAGTCTGAGATTGTAAGGAAATGAACATTTATAGGTATAGGTAATATCTGTTAAGTATTTCATTAGGTGGAACATTCTGCAGAGCATAGAAGACTTTTCTGACAGTGGTTGGAGCAAAACCAGGGATGCTGATAAAAGTGAGGATTAATACATAGTTAAAGGAGGAAAGTATAACTATAATTAACATAAATTTATGGGAAAATGGCATTGCTAGTTGCAAAGCTAATTCTTCCTAAACAATTTAGTATTTTTATATCCTACCAAAGATAATCTTTAATCTTTGCTTCTACTGTTAATTAACTTTCTCATTGATCAAGCTCAATTTGACCTAGGAAAATGCTGATGTCCCAAACTGTGACATGATCAGGGGTCTTTGAGACAATCTGGACCGGACAGAATCCTTTGGAACTCACTATGGCTTTGTGGCTTGTTACAAATGGATTAGAGGTTAAGATTTTTATGTTTAATACTATTTAAATGTATATCTTACATTTGTGTGATAGATATTATTATGAGACAACCCCATTCCATTATAATTTGAACTGCTTCTGTTATATTCACTAATAGAAGCAAAAATATTTTCCCCTGACAAATCTCTAACCTGAATAGCAGTTTTGTAGCTGCTGTCTGCTGATCTTATTATTCATGAAGAAACATATTTGAAAAAAGAGAATAGGTATTTGCTTTACATAAATGAAGATGATACACTATGGATTCCATGGCTAAAACAGCTTTCCACTGTAATTCTGTATAATAATATATAATGAAAGAGGAACAGGACTGCTCCAATATGAGGCATAAAGACATTTAGAATTCCGCTGGGGCTCCTCCTGACTGCTGCAAACCAAAGAAAATCCAATGACAAGCACTTAGGGTTTATTACATTGAAATGGAAAACCTTATGGATGATATTTATAAAAAATATTATACATTATTTCTTGTATTTCTAAGAATAAGTGGGCAGAAACATTCAACTTTCCTCCTTTCTATCATTAGTTCTTGTCCCTCTATAGTATTTTTATTCTTCTCTGATTCCAATTATTACAATCCTTTGGTTGTCTTTCTCATACAGATGTCCTCCCCAACTTTGTTTTCCAGTTCTCCTGTCTTTGCAAGTGTATATTCTTTATGTGTTCTTTCACTTAGTGAGTCAAGATTAGTCTTGTAGGAGACTAGCTCAGTGATAGATAAAAAATGTTGAAATACACTCCTCTTTTCTCTCAGTGTCTGTTGTTTCTAAGACTTTGCATTGTTAACTATCACAGCACACTGAACTGCAGTTTAAATCTCAAGATTTCTTTTTGGTGAGATGTAAAGTTAGTTTAGAACTCAACACATTGTTCCTTTCTTTACACATTACCTTGCATTTGCCAGTGCTTAATGTAATCTGACATAAAGACTTGGACCCTCTGAGGTCCTCTGGACCTCCTCCCCTTGACCTGCACTAACATGAGACTTCATCCTGCATTTCTCAGTTTAGAGGAAATGAAGGCTGGGGCTCTTACTTTAAAGCAGGTTTAATGTTTCTGTAGGAAGTATGCTTATCTTTCATTTACCCTGTTCCAAAAAATCAAGTGGTTTTTCCAAGACAATATATATATTTTTGGCACTGATAAATGCTCATAACTTTATATTTACTAAACAAAGTTTTTTCCCCTGAAAGTAAGAAATTTATACACTTTGGAATATTAGAAATGTGTAAGAAAAAATCGTACATTTTGAAAACGTCAAATGTTTGAATTCATGATTCAGGCCACTCATTTCAGATCTTGGAGAAGTGTTTCAGTTTTCCCTTTCCCTGAAGAGGATTTGAACTCACAGGACATAACTCCTGAAGAAGGGAATTTTTCCACATTGAAGGAGTGCTCAAAATCTCTACTTGAAGTTGTTCCACTTTAAAATGGAATACTTAATTATTTTTTGGCCCATAAGGAGAGAATGTGTTTTATATGGCAAGGCTTCAAGCTTAATGCCCTGTGATTGGATTGTTTCACTGTTTTCTGTCAAGAAGAACTCTGTGTATCTCCTGTACTGGTAGAGATGTGGGGCTCTGTTGTTTTTACTGGCACTGCTGGATTTAAGTACACGTGTTTGATTTTAAATTCCACTTTACATTTTCCATTCTACATTCTTCTATGAAACAAGAGTTCAATACTTCCTGACATAGACAACAGCTGAATGAGTGTTTAGGAATTTAAATTTTGAGCCTTGGCACTGAAGACAGTGGAGGTACCAAAATTTTGCAATTGCACATATGTATGGTCTGTGGGGCTATTTATAATCTTATACTGTTTTTCAATTTAGCTCAAGCATGTGATTTGATTAATTAGCATTAGATGTTTTGATTCTTCTACCTAACTTTGAGACAGCTCTTGTGAGCTCGTATTCTTTCAGCATATAACACCCTGTATTTCAGGTTTCCTGTCTTATTTCTATTTAAATCAGTGGCTATAGGAATGTTCCCATGTTTTGTTTGAATTATGAGAAATTTGTTTCTCTGATGTTAAAGAAGAAACAAATTCCTTTGAACTCCTTTGGATCATTTAGGGTTTGCTGGCTTTCAAAGCTCTTAGAGCACTTGCTTAAAAGTTAGTAGATTTACTCTTAGAAGTACCATCCACTAACAGGAAGTATTTGTTATCTCACCATGGAATATGCTTCCTGCAGTTCAGGGTTAGGTAATAAATACTCCATTAATCTCATCAAGCTTATGTTTTAATTTAGATCCATCTGGTCAAAAAGGAAAGAGGGGAATATGTTGACGTGTGTGGTACAGTGCCAGCAGTCATCAGCTAAAGATGATCATAGACCATTTTAAAAAAAAACAATTTCTGGATTATTGGCATGGATAATCTGGTGAAGATTTTAAGATTTTTTAATACTGTAGAATTGTAGCACTCTAAATAATTGCACTTTAACTGTTTCAAGTCTAGTCATTACTAGAAAAATAAGTTTCCTGCAGTAATATGTGTCAGTTTTAGTTCTGGACTGTGATTATTTTATGCTTACTCACACACCAGTTTTAAATGCAATTTAATTAACCTAATTCCTTAAAAATTTGAGGATTTGGCTTCTGACATATTTACACTCTTGCAAAAGTAATGTATGACTTATAACTCAAGTAAGATGTAATATCAAAAGTTCCTCTGAGGTTTCTGAGTACTGAATTGTTTTAAAATATTTCCCATTTTAGAAATTGAACTGTCTGCTTTATATTCCTGATTCAACATGAGCTGAATGCTCTGGATTTCTGAGGCTCTTACACCTTGTTCTTGGAGTGGGAACATCTCTGTTGCACCAGAAAATTATTCCCTGGCTGTGACTGAAGGCAGCATGACCTTATCTTGTGTGAGGGCTTCACCTGAGGTCTTCCTGTGTTGCATTTTCAAGATATGTCACACCCTAATTCACACCTGTATCAACATTTGCACCCCTAAAATGAGATTACTGCCTGGGAGAACAGACTATCTGGGGTGCTGCAGAGCTGGTAGCATTCAGCATCCTCTGGGAGGTGCTAGTGCTTTACAGTATTCCCAGACTGTATGTTGTGGGACCTATCCTCCTAATGCTGTTTATTCATACACAACTTGGGGAAGCTGAGCAGTCCTGAAAAACTGGTCTCAAAAGCATTACAAAGCATTATACTCATTATATAAAAGCATTGTACTCGTTATATTCAAAGTATTTAAAACATTACAATTTTCTCCTTTTATTTTTTCTCCTTTTATTTTATTTCACTTTTATTTGTAGCACCGTTACAGTATTAAGAATTAGCTGTTAATATAAAAAAATATATATATGTTTGCACTTTTGGTAGAAAATGGAAGACTTTTTACAAAAGAACTCCAGAATCTTTAACTGCATTTAACAGTTCCTGTGACATAGATGTCCATCTATGATGATACTAATCAAGAAAATCATCTCAGTCACTTTTTATCCAAGCCTTAGATGCACATACTTCATTTTTAACATGCAAAGTTATCACCATAGTGCAGCAAAATTGTGATCCTCTGTTCTTTCAGAGAACAAATAATGTTAAGAAAACAGATTTACAAAGGATATATCATATTTTTCTTGTCAATCTATCATATGCTTAGTGGCTATTTAACTTCGCTAAAAAGAAACATTATTGTAGCACCAGAGTATTTTATTTTAAATTTTCTCAGTGTAAATTACTCAGGTAACTATTGTGGCTACTCAATGGCCACCTTCTGTATGCTCCCTGCTCTTGCTCTGGAGATTTCTGCCTGGTCCAGGTGGAATAGTTTCTGAAGCTATGTTGCATGGCTCTCACCTTGACATTATAAAGCTCCTACTGTCCTTTTTTCACAGACTAGAAACCAGTTTTGTTTACATGGCAAACCTGCAGTTAATGAAAAGAAAAAGAAACCAAAGTTAAATTGAATTTTGGCATAGTTATATTTTTCATGCTTTTGTAAATACTTACAAAAAATTAACAGACCTCAAATCATTTCAGGTATTTAGCTTCTTTTAAATCAGCAGTAAAATTTATAGTAAAAGGATTTTATCTTAGTATTATGAGTCTTAGTATTGTTAAGTTTCATCTAAGCTTTAATCTAACTTGAACATCATAATAATCTTGGATATCACAGTGTGAAGTTAAGTCTAGCTGCCTTTCTGCATGTATTGGTTCATGCTTAAGCATTCTACCAGGATATGTCATGAAGGTACACACACAACCTTATACTCATCCTCACCTGTCCCAGATGGGATCTCAGAAATACAGATGGGAAATTCTGAACTACATTGCAGCGATTTTGGATAGAATCCCAAGTCAGCCTGCACTCAGAAAATGAAACCAGAGAAGGTGATCTTAAAACAGTAGGTCTGTGCTGGGCTTGTTTAGAATAAGAAGGTAAAATTTCATGTCTAATTTAATTAAACTGAGGGTATTTGAATTCTCAGATTTAGCCACTAAAACATATGACCTAGTTTCCAGAGATTCTGTAGGCACAAGAAAACCTCTTTGAAATGCATGTATCTTTTTGGTCAGTATAATCCAGTTTGTTGCTGTAATACAGGGACTTGTCATGCTCCTGTTTCTGCCCTGCTTCTTCCATTTTTGTTGTGGTCTCAGATGTGTCTGTTCCAGCAACTGAAGGATTGCATTTCATGGATAATCTCTGTGAGTCTTTGACATTTTAGCAGCTGTTGCAGAGGCACACCTGAAGCAGGGCATCTTAACCTTCCAAGAGGTTAAGTCACCATAATAAGTTATCTGTGCATCCATGAATTACAGTCTTCAGCTTCATCTGCGGTCACATTACAGTGCTGACTGCTAGATTGAAGCTGATATGCCCTTCAAATGTAAAGAGTGTTTTTTTTGGAAGTCTGAAATACACACATGTACCTTGAAATCTAGCATGTCCTGTACTTAGGTGGAATAGCACTTGTGACTTAAATACAGACAGCACTCAACAGATTCATTTTCCATTTCATAAAACATGACTTTTTAAGTGCTAGTGAGTTAAGGTCCCATCTTTTGTGAAGATGTGAACTGAAAGTCATTAATTTCTTTATATCCCAAATACTCTTACTTGCTTAACACTTATCCTATCCAGAGCAAAGCACCATGTGTGCTTCTGGGGTACTTGTGTGGAGACTTAATTCTATTTTGAGATAAGGGAGGTCTCCTGGGTCAATAAACTGTGGCCTTGTGAAGTTTCCATTTGTCAGTGACTCTGGTGGCGACACAGGGTGGCCACTGAACTGCAACACCATCCGGTTTATGTAACATTTATGCTTCTCATTGACAGAAATAATTCAAAGGGCTGAATTTAGAAAGGACTGTTGGAGGAAACCATCTATCTCTTCTTTTTACTTAAAGGAAATACTCCATGAAATTATCTGCTTTATATGAGTTACAAGTCAGATAATTCAAAAAGAAACTGCCTGTGAATGTTTGCCATGGGCAGACACTACAGGATCAAAAGCTAGGGAAGAGAAAACGTGGGGTTGCAACAAAGAGAAAGACAAATTATGGGAAAAGGTGAAGTGTTGGGGCAACTCTGGGAGAATGATCAGGTATGTAAAACTGGAGAAACAGGAGGAACTGGATTTGTAGGGGATAGAGGCTGGTTGCTTCTTACTGTGTACCAGGATCGTGAGCCTGTGAACCTGGTGTCCTTCTGTGAGACCTGACACTGAGCCTCTTAGAACCACTAACCCCCTGATCAGCTCAGTCTCCATGTCCCAGACTCCACCTTGAGCAAGCTGAGGAGGGCACTAGACAATAGACTAGACTAGAAAAAGTTGCATTTTCAACTTTTGCCAGCCACTTTTTGTTTCGTCAGTAAAGAATAATGCTGGCAGACTCCAGCTTCCTGCTTCCTTTGCAGGTGCTCAGCACAGAAGCAGCCAGCTGGGAGGGGTGGAGGGTAGGGGGCTGCTGCTGAGTTATGGGGGCTGTTCTGGACTCTCCTGAGCTGGGCCTGTGATACTGCATCTGTACAAATACCCATCTGAGGGTGCCTGTTTTGTGTTGGCTAAGTCATTCCACTGGATACCATTAACAACCACACAAATGTGCCTTGAAGATCACTTTACAAAACAGTTTAAGAAAGTGGTATAGAGAATGAATGTTTAAAATAAGCTATTTTCCCATGACACTGCAACATTTTGGATGAGATGACAATTCCAAAACTAAAGATGTGTCCTCACAAGGGTATTTATTTCGCATTAAGCTCAGCTACTACTCAAAAGAAGCTGCAGCGAACTAAAAATGCAAACCAGTCAGGGTGTACTGACTGCCAAGACAGTGTTTGTTCTTTGGTTTGTTTTGAAGGTACTTTCAGTTCACTGCTTATTGATGTAGTACAGCAAAGAGAAGCTTTAAAGCATGGCAGCCATTCTGTTGTGTTTCACAACAGGACCAAGTAGTCCTTTTGCCTTCAGGCCTTATCCAGCTGTGGAAAAAACTGTGGGCATTTTTACCTGCGTATCACTGGCTTCAGCAGGAACAGTGGTGTTCCAGCACTGTGTCAGCCAGCAAAGGTCAGACTTCTGTGACTTTGGAGAAGTTGGGAAGGTTCCAACTGGACTTGTGAAGTATCCCATGAAGGGGTACACGAACCAAGGGAGTTAGCCCATTTTATTAACCAGCAAGGTAAAAGAAAATTGTAGAATATCTAAAGAAAAATAAAAGCAGAAAAATAGCAGGTTTCATGAATAGCAAAACCAAAAAGAAATTAGTTACCTGCAGATTTGAATCTCCTAGCTGGACCCTCTGATGATTTGATAACACTAGCCATGTTTTACACTATGGCAATAGGATATTCAGGATGTATTTTCTCCTCTATGCGATAACCAGCACCTGATGTGTGTTTGGCCTTTCATTCACTAGGGGTGCTTATGAAAGGTCCCCCTCCATCTCCTCTGCATACTTTTGTGAAACCTGTAGGAACCTACCATCTCTAACTTGACATGAAACAATTTTTATATTGATTACTGAGAACATACACAGCATTACTAAGTGTCATTGCCATAGGAAGCTGGGCAGAGCCCAGATGTCCAGCAGCACTTTCATTGTTGTTGTGACAAACTGGGTGGCATTTCATCAGAGAGCAGCCCACAGTGAGCCTCTCTCAGCTGCTGACAAAGCCAGGCCCTCAGAACTGAGGACAGCTTCTTGTGCACAGGGCTGATGAGAGAGAGGTCCAAGATCAGACTGCATTGGCAGCCAACATATCTACCCTGAGAGCATTATTAGTGTGCCGCTTGCTAGATTTAGGGTTATAGAACCTTACAGTGAAGCAATTTTATGGACCAGTCTAGAAGCAAAGCATCATTCAAAGCAGTTTGATTCACTTTTTTCATTAGGTTGTTGAGATGCCACATATGACAGATGAGTCAGAGTTGTGCCAGAGTGATAGAGCATTTAATTGCCTAGCAAAGTAATTCTACAAGGGAATCCTACAGGGGTTATTATAACTGGTGAATGAACTTTGTACCTATCAGCAGGATACACTGAAGGTACACCTGTAACACTGCCAGGCAGCATTCCCTTCTCATCTGCTTTGCTACATCGAGATGTACCCTTTCATGCCAGCAGCATTCTGTGAGGGAATCAATCTGCCTGTGTCTCACTGAGTTTCCATTTGCCTTCTTGAACAAGTACATCTGTGCTTTTTAACACTGGATACAGTCTGCAAGTGGAAACCACCAAGCAATTGTTAGCTTACTTCCTGCAGGCATTCAAAGCATGACATTTCTTCCATGGCCTTCCCAAGCATTCCCCTGCCAACATCCTCTGCAAGCTCTCCTTCCCTTTCCTGCTGAAGTGATGGGAACTGTTTCTGCTGACGGTCAGCTCTCCTTGATCAATGGCCCACCACAAAAAATCATCCACCTGCCCCTGCTGGCCATACGCCATGGGAGCACACAGAGAGGACTCCTGATCACATGGTGGCATACTAGTGGAAAACAAAGTGGGGAAACAAATTTTGTTTCCAGTCTAGGAAATGATGCAAAAAAAGATGCAAACTTCTCTTAACTGAAGGGTGTGGGACACTGCATCTTTTAGTCATCCAAATACAAAGTTCATGTTAGTCTGCCTGCTTTTCACAGTAATACAACATGAGCCATTTGTGCTGTCAAGCACATTTTTCTCCTTCTTTGCAATTCTGAACAAGAATGAGAGAAGAATCAAAGGAGGAAATGATTGAACAACATATAGTAAGTAGCTGAAGTCCAGAGGTGGGCCACGAAGTTGATAAGGAATTGGGCAACTGTCCTATGGGGACAGGCTAAGAAAGTTAGGACTGCTCAGTCTGGAGAAGGTTGCATGGACACCTCATAGCAACCTTCCAATACCTGAAGGAGACCTACAGGGAAGCCAGAGAAGGACTCTTCATCAGGCACTGAAGTAATAGGACAAGGAATAATGGGTCCCCACTGAAAGAGGAGAAATTAAGGTTAGAAATATGTGAACAAAATTCTTTACTGTGAGGGTGCTGAGACACTGGAAAATGTTTCCCAGAGTAGTTGTGGATGCCTCATCCCTGGCAGTGTTCAAGGCCAGGCTGGATGGATCATTGAGCAAGCTGGTCTAGTGAGAGGCATCCCTGTCCACAGCAGAGTGTTTTCAAGGTTGTTTTCAGGACCTTGCAAGGTAGGAAAGAGAAAGATGAGGGGTTATCCATGTTACAACCAAAGAAAATCTCACCATAAACAAAAAGACGTGGAAAAACAAGATGAGTGAGTATCACTGCTTCATTTTCTAAAATGAAGAAGTATTTTTCATCTATATAATTAAAAAAAGTTCTGTGAAAACATAACTTTCAGCCAAAGAAGTTCTCCTCTCATATTCAGCAATTTTCATGAAATATCTAAAGTATTTTAAAAAGACTCCCTGAGGTTTTCATAAAATATAGATGCCAGTGTATAATGAAAATAATTAAGATCTCAGTGAAATATGTTCTAAGTTGGGCATACTCCAAGACAACACATGCCCAGTTGTCATGAAATTGTATGCTGCATTTCATGAATTGTTCAGACCCCATATTTTATAATATTCATTATGTTTCATAGCAATATTCATGACATTTAATAGCAATGTGCATAAAATATTAAAGCATAAAAAACCCCCATCAAAGCCACAAGCTTAATAAATCACAGGAATATAAATTGTCTTCCAATCTGCAAGAAAACAGACCTCTTTCTTCATTTTTCTTATATTTTGTTAAAGCAAGACTAGCAGTGTTTTGTAGTAGATTCACAAAAAATTCTCACCAGCTGTTCTTAGGCTGGCCATTCAGAATTACAGAAAGCATGAAGACAGCACTGCTGCAGCTTCATTGAAATTTATTTTAAATTATTAATTATTAAAAATAACCCCTTTCCATCATAGCAGAGATATGAGAGACCTTGATCAGAAACTGCATAAAGTTCTTCTGGAGAGAGCAGCCTTCTGGTTACTCACAATTTCTACCTCTGTGCCTTCAAGGATAAAATCTTGACACTAAAGTCTGTTAAATAGAAGTCTCCAACCTTACAACTTGCCTTTTGGTTTTCTAAATTCATACTTCATCCTTGCCTTGCAGCTAATTAGACATGAGTTCATCAGCCATTCAGTACAAGGCTTTGTTGAGCAGGGAAGTGAAAGACAAGGTGGATCTTCAGAGGGAAAGTTGTCCATTATAGCAATTAATGAAGCTGAGGGAAGAAGTAGGTGCTTTACAGCAAAGGGCATTAGTGCTGACGAACATCACTGCACAAAGCAATGATCTGGAGTAAGGGACTCTACTAAAACACAGACACAACAGAACCACAAGGAGGAGTAAATAAGGTTCTTTAATTGCTTCCACCCTTTTGAAATCATATCATGTTCTACCTGCATTAACTGAATTTTCTTTACATCAGCAGAAGCCAGTTCCACCCCCAGCCAGCAAGTAACTTGCTCAGGCCCAAGTGCTGGCTGATGAGCAGAAGTAGCAGGTTTCTGGGTGGTGTGAGTGCCTGCCTTTCACAGAGCTTAGGAGCCAAGTACTGGTGTGCTGCTTCCCCAGCTTTGCTGGCTTTTTATTGTACCTCTAGAGACATGATCTGTCCCAGTAGGAAGTTCTTCAGTTGGGGCAGGTGTGAGGAAACACATCCTCCCTTCATCCAAATAAATGATTTCTCGCTCCTTGTTTCTCCTTTTAAAATGCTTTGTAATACTCAGCTGCCAATGTTTGTGGATGGCAATACGGTACAAAACATACCAATTACTGTGTGCAACTACTCATGAGTAACAATACCTGTAATGTTAAAACACTGGGATGTGTGTTTTGCTACCACAGGGATGTGTTGTATTTGCTGGCAATGGGGAGAGACACTGGGATTCTTCTGGAGTTTATTCTGTTACTTCTTAGGGAAAATTTCTTCTGATGGCAGTTTTGTAAGAAACTAGTTTAGAATTTGTCTGACTATGACTAAATAAAAGAGATAAAACAGTGTTTTGGTTTAATTTTTTGGTCCCTCCTTAGAGGAAAATACTTATCAAGAGAGGCTTTAAAATATTCTATTCTCAGCTCCTACTAGGCCAGTAAGTGTCTTTTTCACAGGCAAAGAGCATTTGGGCTAAGCAGTCTTCAGGATAATTAATGTAAGCACCTGAAGCAATTGAATCCCACATTTTCTCCTGTCTGTGTAGGAATGAGAGGTGTTATTTTGGTATTTATGATTCAGACTCCAACACTGACCACTTTGTCTATCAGTCACAGAACTGCTTCAATATATAAATATTTAATAGTAGTGTTAAATATTTCCAGACATAACAAAGCTGAAGTACAATATACTGAAGTGACCTGCTTTTTAAATGTGTGTAGTGGCTGAGAGAGGAAATTCACATGCTTACTACTTGGAGAAGGGTAGCACAAACTGACAATCACATGCAGGAAGAAGAAGAGTTGGCATACAGCACCAGTAATGCCTGGAAAACACAAAACACTGCTGACAAGTAGGATGTTCCTGTGAAACCATTTGGTGCCAGCTCATTAGAGTGCTTTGGCAAGGATATTTGGCATAAAATAGATCTTATTTAGAATTAGGGATTCTGCTGCCTTGCTCTTGGCATGGAATGAACTTGTAAATTAAGCTGTCTTGTAATATAATGACATTGCCTGGTATTATGAATCATTTTAGAATTAGAGAAATTGATCTGAATAAGAAATTAAGGCTTGCTAAAAAGTGGAGAAACACATACAGCTGACATTGAGGGCTGGTAGGCACAGGCCTGTGAAGAATGCATTGCACTGCAGAGTTGCTTCCAAGCCTGGGTCAGCACCTGGGTCCTGGTTTGCAAAAGTTTTCACCTACTCCAGGGGTTGCTTCAGCAATTATCCTTTCCTCAGATTCAATTTCTTTAGAAACTTTTCTTCTTCACTGGACGTCTCAGGTGGGTTATTATTAAAATTTTATACTTGCCAGGGGCTTACTTTTCAATTAGCAAAAGTTTGAAGAGTCTGGGTTAGGGTGGAAGATTCAGGGAGAAGGCGGCTGGGCATGTGATACCTCTCTAAATGCTTGATGAAATAGAGCGCTCTGCTCTTGTTTTCCATATTCTGTACAGGGCAAAAACCTCACGGGGATGGCTGTGCACTTTTGGAGCAACTCTCTAAGTATAAGTTTGGCTCATTTCCTAAAGCAAATTCAGTATTTAAAAACCACTCCCAACAAAAACCATGAAAAAGAAGCCTAAAACAGTCTTTGGAGCTGCTGTCCTTACAAGAAACTGACACATACTCAGCCTGATCAGGTCACTTTCCTCAACATTCTTCAAACTCTCAAAGTTACAAGTGGAGACAACTTTCTTGGTATTTCATGGCAAATATTTCTGTCTCAGATCAAAGCTACCACCCAGTCCTCTGAAAAAAGTCCTCTGAAAAAAACTAAGTTAGGGAGCACTACAGCTATTTTCCTCCAGCCTGAGCATATGGGAATGCAACATATTTTTCTGCATGTGCTGTTCTTTAGCATTCATGAGAATCTTTATGAAGGCAAGTTTTGAGTCACATGCTGTGTCACACTACAGGGAAGAAGAATATCAATTATACAGCATGCTTAATCATGAGAGGAAATAGATTTCACTAACTGAATATGCAAATGCCAATTCAGAATAAAATTATGATCTCTTCCTGATGTGCAAAATGCCACTGGTGAAAAACATTTTAATGTATTACTGCTGGACTTCAGAAGAGTGTGATTTATGAAGGGAAAAGAGAAAAATGTAATTTAATTTTTTCTTGCATTGTATTATTCTTGTTGGTTTTCTTCTAGTTTGAAAAAGTATAGTTGATACAGAGCTTTTAAAGCATATTTTAACATTTAAAATGCAGCTTCCCGTGCTTGCATTCATGCATAGTTTCCTGCGATGAAGGGTGGTAAGTAAACACTGCTAGTTTTCCTGTGAACACTGTGAGGCTGTATAGGATGGGATTTTGTTGTACACAAGGACAAGCTGCTTCTGGAATCCTACACTTGCCCTTATCCTACTAAATCAACAGCTGTTTAGCAAGGAGATAGGAATTATCTTTTTTGGCCAAAACCTGGTATTTACAGCTCATCCCCAATGGAGTGGGTGGTCACAGTTCGCTTCCTGAGGCTGCTCAGTGAGAACAGTACCTCCCACCTGCTGTTACAGTAGTCTCTGGCAGAGCATCTTTTCCAGTCCTCATCGCAGAAGTGTTTCATTTCACATGGTGTGGTGGGCTGGCTCACCCAGGAAGGTGATGTGCTGTACTCAGGAGCATCACACTCTCCTGGGTGAGGAAGCCTAATCCTAAGTATCGTAAAACACTGTTTAATTTAGCTGGAGTGCTGGCAATCAAAGCCAGTTTCCAATGTCCTCAGAGAGTACTGGAACCTGTCATTGAGTTAAATAGGAAAGTCTCTTTCCCCTCTCACCAGCCCTTGTATAGAGCTCATGTTCGGAGGTCTCATCTAATCACACCCACAAGCTTGAGCTTTATAAAGAGATTGTGTCCAGCTGACTCTGGCTGAAGGCCAAGTGCCCACCAAAAGACACTCTTATCTTTTCAGAGTTCATCAACCTCGTCCTGTCTTGCTGGTGGCCTCAGAGACCCTTGCACACCTTGCCTTCTTCTTGGTGTGGGAAGCACTGCACCTTCAAACCATGTGCTGATAGTAGGTGGAGGCTCTGGGGCAGGACCCCCTTCTTCTGGAGCAGGGGAGATGGCCAGCAGTGTTTCTCCAGAGGGCAGCTCTTCTCTAGACCTGAAGGTGCAGCCTTGCTGTGCAATGCATGTGAGGCTGTACACAGCTCAGATGAAGGAAGAGGATGTTTCTGTACACTAAGGAAAGCCATATGGAGGGCTGAAAGAGGAGTCAAATTTGTTTATGCGTCAGAATAACATTTACTTGAAAAGTGCTAGCTGGGTCCTACTACATATCCCACAAAATCAGGGGATTTTGAGTTATGTCCCCTTTACACTTGTCAATAAATACACCAGTGTTTCTTAGCCTGTACAACCTGTAGGCAGAAGCACTGACGTGGGTGTCCAGAGCTTTACAGATACAGGATGCTCCCATGAGAGCACTGGGATGCTTCACACAGCTGCCTGCAAGCTCAGTGGTTACTCTGCAGGTGCCATTCCCATCATGGTTTTGTCTGAGTGGGGTTTGGGGTGAATCTGTGATAGCTTGAATAGGAGAGGTACCTAAACCATGCACTCAGACTGGGGATTTCTGCTGTGGGAAATACTACCACAAAAATAAATGAGAAGTGAAAGATGGATGAGATGGAATGAGCTGTGAACTGACAGCTTTGTGACTGGTTTTGACTTATTTTCTTTTTGTGGTCTAAAGCTGAGTGCCTCATAAATTCTGAAGACATCAAAACTCTAACTAACCCAACTAAAATCATCCCAGGTTCACTGGAAATACAAAGAGCATTAACTAAATAGAATACAAGAGACAGTGAGAAGGGAATGAGTTCTCTCTTCAAAGTGCTGGTTTTGGGTATTTACTTCAGTTTTGACATTACAGATCAAACGGGCATGCAGATAAATTTCGGGTATCTAGGGTCACACAGTGGCTGTCCTACAATCTAATATGGGCCTAGAGATATTTTACTGATGGATCTTAAAGATCCTGGGATCCCCAAACAGATACCTGCTGGTGCACCTCAGCTGTGAGGTGACACATTGCAGACACCATTTGGCAACCACCAAGCAGCGTGCTGGTCTTGGGGGCTGTTTCACACTTTGCTCACTGTGAGACAGGAAGGCAGCAGGCTTTTTAGGGGAGAGGAGGATGTAAAATAAGAGCAGCTGCATTGGAACTGGTCAGAGCCCCATACAGCCCAGCACCATGTTTCTCAGTGTGACCAAATGGGACAAGCTTTAAGAATGGTTCAAACAGTCCTGATCTTAAGTTACTAGCTTTGTATCTCAGAGCCCAGGGTACAAATTTTTCCTATGAATCTGTTCCAGATCTCTCAAATCAATACAAGCATCTGCACCATCCTCTGGCAGGACTCACAGTTTAACTCTATTAAGGTTAATTTAGTGAACAGCTGGGTAAAAAAATTGGAAAATGAACAGCAGTAACAATACTCCAGCTGCAACTTGATATCCAGCATCATGCAATGACCAACAAAACTTCTCTCCAGGGTGTGCACAAGTGAGAGCTGTTTACTTTTCTCTGGCAACAGTTCATTGTGCAATTGTGAGCAGCAACATCCCAGCTGCCATCAATTTCTTTTGTTTCCTCAAAAGAGCCACAGGGCACCTGACGCACAGCAATGAATTGCAGAAAAGTACCACTGTTTCAGATGGTTGGCTTCTGGTATTCTTTACCCCCTTCACAGAAATTGTCTCTAAATAAAACAATTTTGTAATATCCAATAGACATTTTAGAGCAGATGTTCAGGAGCCCCACACTTACCAAACTGAAGTCTAGAATCCCCAAATTGCTTCCCCTGAAGGTAAGATGCCTGAAAAACTCTCTACATCTATTACAAGTCTCCAACAGCTAATCCTGATGTATATGTACACCTTTTTGTGCATCAAGAGCAGGCTGGTCCATAAACTTTCTTCTTTTGTGGTTGGTACCAGTCCGTTCTGGCTTGTTCAGATAAGGGCAAGCTCCTGAGTGGCCCTGGCCCATTGTGCCCTTTTGCATTTGTAGCTGAGGTAGGCTGCAGGTCCATCATCTGAATCTTTCCGGGTACTTATCTTTGTTTTATACACCTTTATATCTTTTTACACACCTATGCCAAACAAGCAGGAATTACAAAATACCTAACTAATTCAAGCACTCTTGAGGTATGTCCCTCTCCACTCCACATACCTTGTCCATGTATGCCAGCACTGTATTCTGTCTCCATTCATCAAATCTCTTACCACAGTCTTTTAACAATTTCGTTTAGTGAGCAGTTTTTCATATTAGAAACCTGGTTCTAATTGAGGCTGGAAGGTACCATGTTTCCTCATCCAGAGAATCATCTGGAGACTCACCTGAGAATAAAAATGAAACAGAGACCCAGCTTCAGTGGTCTGAGCTACCTTCCTCACAAGCCATGGCAGAAGATGGAACCTTCTTCAGTGCTGCAGCAGATGTTTTATCCACAAATACCACTGTGGGAATGAGCCCAAAGGTAGGTAACATCCACTATACTGCCTTGTACTATAAAAACCCCACTGCTCAGCCAGTAGTGATGCAGCCTTACCTGTTTTCAGGCACCACACTCCACATATAATCATCACAATTTTTAGAAGCCATCTTCAGAATGTTAAATGGTGCCAGGACATGAGCCCAGAATGGAAACTTGCCTGCCCATCCTGCCAGTTTCTTAGGATGGGACACAGCATACTTCTGATGTGAGGTTACACAGGTTGCCTCCATAACAAACTCAGTTCTGAGTTCTGAACTCAGTTCTGAAGCCTTTCTCTAGTTCTACATCCATGATTCCCATTCTTCTGGCCACAGCGCTGCACATGACCTATCTGATAATACTGCTTTTTCTCTTGGCTTTTTGTTTTCTTCACTCTTCCTGTTCTTCAGTCCCTCTCTTTCTTCCTAAGAAAGGAAGTATCCTTTCTTCCTAAGAAAGGAAATAAGCTTTGTCTAAGGATAAAAATATTTATATTCTTTTTCAAGGCAGAAGGAATCTTTAGGGCTTTCAGCTATAAAACCTAACTTGTCAGTTCCCCCCCCGCCCCCCCCATCCCCCCATCTCTCTTAATGGATCTCTTATGCATTTATAATGTAGTCAGTACAACAGTATCTAGGGACCTTATAAAGAATTTATGGAACAAACATTTTTTTTGCAAAAAGTTTCTACGCCTCTTCTGGTTATTGCCAATCTCTGGAGCTGTTCTTTGATTTGCATAGGAAGCCAAGTTGCCTGTTTTATACTCTTGACACAGACTTACAGTATCCTGGTACTGCATTTGGGATAGTAAAAACAGGTTCAGTGGGATTTGTTTTAGCAGTTATTAGCTACTGAACTATTTGTAATAAGCAGAGCTGGCTGCGTTTGTCCACCAGCATCAGAGCGGTATCTGAGGTAAGAGCCCAGAATGTTACATTACACCTTGAAGTGACTATATAATTACTATGTAGAGAAAACAGTTCAGTGTTGGCAAGGAGTGAAATTTTAAATTTTCATGTCACTAGCAGTAAGTAGCTGGATGTTGCAGGCACCTCTAGGGAACACCTTCCTCCTCAGTAATCCTAGACTTCCACCACTACTTGCAGGGTGACCAACACCTCACAAACACCTATGGTGTGTGCATATGATTGTGTGAGGAAGTTAAACTCCTTCAAGGCCTGAGTCTGCAAAGGTGAGCTCTATAACACTGAGGGCCTTTACAGTGCCAGTTTCCTGGTCTCCAGTATAATCCAGCAGTATCAGCTTGATTTTGACTTCACAGAGCTGAGACCAGCTCAGGGTGGTGCTGGTGCAGCAGGTAACACTGTTCAATGCCTTGGTGCCTTTCCTATTCCAAATTAATGGGTTGAAATTTTTGCTACACTTGTTTTACAATAATAAAGTATCTGTATAACAACACCTAAGAAGAAACATTCTGTCAATATTGACAGAGCTATTTGCACTGACCGTTATTTCCAAGGTAACCAAAACCAGTCACCAAAATGCCCAAACCCAGTGCCATGAATGGAGACATATCTTGGGTTGTCTGACTCCATTCAAAGAGCCATAGAATTATAAGGAGGGCAGGGCTGAGGGTGAGCTATGCTGTTCTCGAAGGCTGCCTCTGGATTTGTGACTGAGAGGAAAGGATCTACACAAGTTTAGTTAGAAAAGAACACTGATTAGTAAATTGCAAAGTTAATGAATTCAATCACAAAGTACAAGAGCCAAAATTAAATTCTTGTTGAAAAAACCCCAACCAACCAAAAGGTGCCAGAATTGTCCCTGTACTCAGTGAGTCAACGTGCCAGAACTGCCTGTGGTCAGTGTAGCTCTGGACACTGGATTATCACTGAGATGCCCATCACCCCTTATCACAGTAACCACTCTGCGTCTCCATGGCCCACCAAAGTTTCACTGAACAAGACCAGGCTTGTTAAGAGGAATGCTGGGACTGTCCCACAAGGACCAAGTGTAGGAACCTCCTCAGCAGCTTCTCTGAGAAGCAGATATACACATTTGTCCTCCTCACCATTCTGCAGCAACAGCTTCCTTCTGCTTCTTCTCCCAGGCTTGATCTCACACAGGAACCCTCCATTAACTTGATCTTACTGGAGATAAGAAGTTTGACTAACTAGAAGTACTCATGTAAAGGAAGCCTTCAATTACATCTCCATAAAATTATGTCTTGAAGTATAAGCAGCATTTTTACTAGCTTGTTGAGTAAGTGATAAAAAAAGACAAGGTGAAAAGCATCAATAATTTAAGCTAGTATTTCTCATTTCTATTAAATTATTAAACTAAAAATATTCCTTAGAGTATTTTCAAAATACTCTATTTTCCATAAACTCTGTTGCAATTTCTAGTTATAAAAAATGTGTGAAGCAAGCTATATAGCAAACCCCCATGTAATTCAAGAGGGAGCACAGAAATCTGGAAAGTGATCAAGACATAAACAAAAAAAATGAAATGGAAATAAGCATCCAAACCAGCAAAATATATTTAAGTAGTATCATAAATACACTCAAAAAAATCTATTTACATATCTAAAAACCATATTTTCAGTAAAAATCCTCCCACAAAAGGTATTTATAAACAAGAAAATTAATCTAATTTCATTGCCTACTGTTGGCAACAGAGACGCTTTACTGCTAGCATAGCTTTAACTATGCTTTTACAAAATAAAATTATTCTAGGAGAATCTTGAACCGAAGACTGGACAACAATTACAAGGCATACAAAGCATAAGGAACTGCAAATACATAACTCTAGTAGTGCAGAAATGAAGAATAATGGCTTTTTTCCCTCTCCAATACTTGTTCAGAGAAAAATACTACTGTGAATAAGCAATTTGAACCCCTTTAAAAGAATTACATTTGTAGAACTCAGTGCATCTGTATGTTTCAGCAAGGCTGATGCTATACAGGATGTAAATGAAACAAAGTCAACATAAAATCATGCTGTGACACAAGTTTATAAAAAACTTTATGGCAAAATGTCTGAATATACAGTACAGCGACAACCCTTGCAGAAAAGTTTTTCTCTCCCCAGAAATTTGTACACAATACCACTAAACAATGTATATGCAACTGATAGCATATGTAACACTCTTTGGAAACAGATTTTAACTTCTTTCAGGCCCTGTCTTTTATACAGGAATAGCAGGAGGATAACTCCTCACTTGGATGCTCCCAGTGTTTGTCCCTCAGGTACATGCCCGAGGCTGGGCAGAGACCTGCGGAGAGGTGTAAGCATCAGGAGCTGGAGAAAAGTTCCACCTGGGAATGGGGGGTCACTGTAGGATGCTTTGATATAAGTCAGTGCAGAAGTGAAGAACTGATGCAGTTGAATTCCTCATCATCCACAGCCCTGGTCTGATAGTGTTCTGAAACACATGACAGTCTCTTTGTCCAGAAAGGCCTCATAATTTGAACAGCTGTAAACATTTCTTTTGAAGTTAGCATTTTCACTATGCCTTTGATGTTTAAAACAGTAACAAAATCAGAAGTAGGAACACCTTAGCTCATGTTAGAACTACTTCAAATTCAGAAAATCAGAGCTCTATAATTGAGAAAATAGAAACAAATCTGCAAACACATGATTGGTTTTGCAAACAGTATTTTTGCTCTATTTTTCAGCTCTATCTGCCTTTCAGCAAACAGCTGAATATCACCCAGTCTACCCTAGAAAAAATCTAACTTTGATAAGTAAGCTGGAAACCATTGAATATCCAGAAGCAAAACAGCAGGACAAACTGTTGTGTTTATTCTGCCCAGAGCTAAGTCCATCACTGCACTGCATAGCAGATTCCTGCTCAGAGACTCAGAAGAGGTCAGGAATCCCACACTTTTCTTGTTTCCCTTCAGGTACAAAAAGAAAGATACAGATGATGTCCATAAAAATGTAACAGTAGCAGGTAAAGATTTACCCATTAAGATCTGTCCATTATAATTAATGGCAAGTGTTATGGTTGATATTTAAAGCTTTTCCAGAACAGAAAGGACTAACTTCTTGACTTCAAATATTCACAGGGTTACTATCAGGTGTTTATGGGGACTTAATTAAAATTTTCTAAGGCTCAAGCTGTACCAGTTTATGATGCAATCACTTGAACTTTTACTGAAAGAGAAGCCAAAACAATGGTGATTTTACAAACCAAATGTAAAGGCAGTCTTTCTGAATCTATACACAAGAGCTGATGACCAGGAGTGGAAGACAGTGACTTCTGCAGAGGGCAGGGCTGCTTTTCTGCAAACTGATGGATGCTTGTTCAACCCAACCTCAACTATCCAGTTCATGTGCTTGAACAGAGTTTAGGTACCCAGCTCAGGCTCCAGAGGATAGCTTAGAGGTGCTCTAAGATTATTCAAGAGACACAAGGGATTTGTCTGCTTGACCTTTGGCACAGGAAAGCAAAAGAAACAAACAAAAAAGTAATGCCCTCAATCACAGGAAAATCCATCCTGGAACAGAGACCAAATCAGTCTTCCTCTGGAAATATTTAATTCTCCTTGCTAATAAGCAGTGGAGCACTTCAGGTCACTAGCATGGATTCAGATCTGGCTTTTGGACATCTGAATTTAACTAAGATGACTCTTACCTCTGGCTTCCACATTAGGAACGTAAGTTGGATACCTGAAGTCAGATGGTGTGAGAACCCTCTGTCCTTACTGACAACAGCCACCTCTTAAATCCCTGACAGAGCTGCAACCACAGCATTTACTCAGAGAAGACCCAAAGGCATTGAGTCTTCATAGGATATAATTTATCTCTTATCTCTTTATCCCCTTTTCACATTACAGAAGGGGATGGAGAAAGGGGAATCGGTGTGGGACATGTTGTCTTCCTGAACAACACAGTGTAATAAATACTAATGAAGAAACTTAGTGGCTGCCACTTGTAGAGCTGAGAAAATCACCATTTTGAAGTTGGTGGGTACAAATTGCTTTGGCTGTTGTAGCTCTTGTTACTTATTTCAGGAGATACTGATGGGTCTCAGTGTTAGCAGATTCTCTAACCTGGCTGGCTAAAAAGCTCAAACGGCATTAGAAAAAGCTATGACGGCAAAGACTTTAAGAGCTACATACTATTTGCATGTATTTAAATTAAAAAAAAGAAGTTATATTTTAGACAAGTATCAGCTACTCCCTAACACTTTTATTAAAATACTGATGGAAACAAAAAACAGTAAACTGTAGGTCAATTGCACACACATATGCAAATAAACCACCACAAACTGTACTGTCTTAGCCACTTAACTTGTTTCACCCAGCTCTGGAAGGATTAAAATTCAAAATTTCACAGAATCAAGATCTTAGGCCTGCCAAAGACTTCAGATAAATATGCAAACAAGGCAACACTTGTATTCCCATTTTTTATCTATGGATTATTTTCCTTGTTAAATTCTTTGGGTTTTGCTTTGCTTTGTTTTCTTCAGAGTAACTTTTCAAAATACAAACTAACAAGAACCTGGAAAATTCAGAATCACCTAACAGGTGAGGGAAAAATGCTCAGTGCAGTTTTCATTCCATATATGAATTAACTACTGGGAATGTATGCTCAAAGATCACCAGCAAGATATTTAATGTTGGAAGTACCACTGAATGTTTTTAAAACTCACTTCAGAACACACCATCTGAGAAGTATGAGTTGTTTTCTGTGGCAAATTTCCACTGATGGCAGTAGAGAACTGAGGCAGGGCACAAGATGTAAAAGCAAATAAAACTAATGCTTCTTGGTAGCTACTTACATACAGTAGCTGTATATGCTCAGTGACCCCACCACATATGACATGTAAATTGGCTGGAGTCTTAGCTTGGTTCCTTTCCTGTATTTAAACCGTATAGTGAACATAAATGACAGATCAGCATGGTTTAGCGTTCACAAGAGCTCCTGTCCATCAAACTGTTGTCTCTAAACAAAGGCTGCCTTAAGTAAGACATATGAACACGTGACCTGTCTCCAAAATGCATGGTCATATTAAATAAATCTCTTACATATGTACATGTAACAAAATTCAAAAATATCATAGTTCTACCCTCTTCTGTTTAAGATTGCATTTTCTAACTGTTGCATATACTGTAGCTGCTCAAAAAGCTGAATAAAGTGAGTAGAGAAGACTTTTTCAGAGAAAAATAGTTGTAGAAAAAGTTGTAAGTATGGTACAGTGAGAAAGTTCACAGAGCTCTCACTTCATTATCTCTTTGGTTGCTGATTAGGATTTGACAAGTTTGAAGCCCTGTCCTGTATCCAGCACTGTGGGAAGAAACCAACTCATTTTCAATCTTTTTAAGCACCTAAAGCATGCTTTACAGACCCAGAACAGATTGAGACCACAAAACCAGTTTGCCAAATGTACTAATGGATAGGTGATGCGTGGGAAGTATATCATCCAGTGTTTGGCAACATCACTTCCCGTTGGCAAATGCAAAGTGTAGTCACTCCAGTGCTTTGATACCCCATACAGCGCTTTCACCGTGCGGCCCTTTTCAGACCAGCTGATGTTGCTGTCAGGGTTACAGTTGTACTCAACCCACTGCCTGGTGAAGTCACCAAGCTGTGGAGGGTCTGCTTCCTCGATGTCTACAACTCTGGCCATTTCTGCTCCTTGCACAGCAATGTACTGGTCATTTACTTTTCTTACTTCTTTAACCCAAGGCTGAGAGTTCTCACAGTCTAAAACAATGATCAGTCGAGAACAAAAAGTGCCGTTCTTTTCTCTCCACCACTCCAACAGCGTGTCAAGTCGTAAAGCATCACCCCCTGCCACAAGGACAAAAAGATTTAACATCAGGATGAAGAAACACAAACTTCTGCAGAACTTTAACTGTTTTGACTGGTTCTAAGAATCCCTTACTTCAACAATTTGGACAGATAAAACAGATGTTTTCAATTCATCCTGTCTTTAAATGTTGCATATCTCCATAGAGGTACTAAATGACTTGCTGACTTGCCATTAACTTACCCTTGGTTAGAAGGAAAACCCACTACCAATAACAAAAAAGGAATTCCTTTACAGAGTGAAAGAAATTATAGCAGATTGAAGAAGTCTCGAAAATACAGATAAACAAGGAAAAAAAATTGAAATAGTTTATTTTGTATTAAATCTTAATAATTTTAGGAACAGGAATAGGACACTTTTTTAATATGTTTTTATGAATATTAAAAAAAGGCTCCTCTAAGAGATGAATTTCAAATTTCAAATGCCGGAAACCAAAACAGTTTCAAAGCACAATGAGAAAGCCACACGTAAGCACAAAAATTCACATGACCAGAAATGAAGAGATTCTCTCTATAAAGACAGCTGTTTTCAGTGCTTCAAGAAAACTGGTATTGATTTACAGCTCAATGAAACAAAAGCCTCATTGGAATTTTTCCACAATATTTTTTTTTCCTGTCAGGTTGCAACTAGTGTCCAACTTCTCACGTTCTGTCTCAGCTCCTGCTCCAACAGCACTTTGAAAGAGGATAATGTAATTAAACTTGAAATGTACATACAGCGGGAAATCCTTCTGCTTAAGTGCATGCTGCAGGATCTGTGTAGTTTTGAAAAGCAGACTACTTACTCAGGTACCTAATGAAAACATCTTGCAAACAAGTGAATGACTCTCCATTGTCTCCCCAGTGAAAGTAAAGAACCAGTATATCCAGTATATCTCAATTTTGGCTAGCTGAAGCCATGATACAGGTTTACAACAAAAACAGTTTGAAAATATTAACTTTAAAAAATGAAGAAGAAGAAAGGTATTTAAAGTTACTGCATTTTAATTCCTGAATGATTTTTCACTGTGGAATATAATTAAGCAGTGTTTAAAAAGTTGTTAGCTGCATATTTCAGCACTTACAGTTCTACCTGTAAGGGGTGACAAGAAAGTGCTTCAAATTAATATCTCAGAATTAAAGGGTTGTACATGCTATTGTGGTTAAAGTAAAAGCAAAATTACAGAGCTGCACCTTTCTCCAAGAAAATAAAAAACTGGAAAATTTAGTACCAAAGAAAATCTCTAGGATACAAACCTAAAGTAGTAAATTGTCTTGGTACATGATCCTCAAATTGCTTTAGTTGTTTACAGCAGAAAATTTTATTGAAGTAGTTTCCCTTTTCTAGGCACACCTTCCATGCAAATTCTCTATAAAAAAGTTCTTTATTTATTCACATTTTAAAGGCTTATAAATAAACTATTTAAGTGTATCTATGTAGGAGTGCAGGTGATTTCAAAACACCTTTAGACAGTATCACGCAAAGAAAATAATCTCATCCTTTACAGACACAAGCAAACATGCTTGGCTTCCGACGCTAGGAACATCAAACACGTGGGCTTATCACCCAGCACAAGATTTAGGCACCAAGCTGTGTAAAAAATACAGGTGTCTGGCTACCTCTGGCTCTCTGGCAGGCTTAGCAGGACAACAGGTAAGCCAACAGTTTCAGGAACAGAGACAAAGCTTTATTAGCCCAGCTCATGCCCTTGCCTTCATTCAGACAGCATGACCTCCCAGCTCATTTGATTGTTCATACTTTATGCATGAGTAGTTAACAGTTTCTTTTATACACCACTGTGTTGTATCTCAACTTGCAACAACAGAGAAACATAATTACTGAATTAAATTCAGTAAGCCTCCTTTGAAAGATGTCATTACAAAGCAAAGACTACACTGCTACTGCTGCGCTGTACCAGGCAGCAGTAAGAAATTGCTTCTTCAATCAGATGAATGTTTTGTTTCATTGTTGCCATCTCTTTTCATCCTCTTTACAGGTCAGAGGCTAGTACACATTACTGGAACCGATGACCAAGGTTTCATCTGTCACAAAACGCCAGTGTCTAATACATGGGGCACAATTACAGTCAAACAGCCTTTATCTTTTCAGTTTATACTTTCAAGTTACATGCAGGAGCAGTGATATCTGGAAGGAGGATCACATTACACTCCATAATTTAACTAAAATTAATCACAAAAAAAGCATGCAAGACCTGTGACAGCTGCCTGTTCTTCTCCTTTATGTGACTATACATGTATCCAAGTAGAAGCTGAAGATGTGGTTGGACAGAGAACTGAAAAGGAGCTTTGTGAGAAAGTTGAATACCACTGCATTTACACAATGTATCTTTCAGCACTGAAAGTTTTAACAGTTACCTTGGCCTTTCCCCTAAAAGCTAGACATTAATTAGGTTCTCGCTACCTACACAGTATAGAGAGACCTGAGCTCTCCAGTCACACTCCAGGGTGGCTAGATACAGTAACCTAGGATTGGGGTGGAAGCTGTCCTATTTTTGCAGCAACATTTGGCTCTACACATGCAAGAAAGCTGACTTTATCTATGCTGCTGGCTGGAGCACAGGTGGGAGGTGGACTTTTGCTGATAGTCTGCTCCACACAAGGTGCGGACACACTCGGCAATTGCACGGGGTGGCAGCTGCTCTTACGGACAAACCACCCCCTTCTCAGAGAAGTCATTTGGCCACCCTATATACACTGTAGCTCACCACTTGCACTAAGCTACAAGACAGCTGTGGCTTTTTAAAATCTCTGATACAGATAAAGACCTTGAGGAAAAAATACATACTGCTCTTCAGCAGATCTAAAGGCTCAGGCATGGAGCTGCACCAAAACAGGTACAGAGCCCCCAGATGGAAACCGACCTGTGCCTCAACACCCACCTCAGCATGAGCACACATGGAAGGCCATGCCCTACTGAAGGGCACAAGCACCTGGAGGACCACTGCTGACAAAGAGCATTACAGTGAACAAATATTCCTCAAAATACACGGAAAAACCTGTCTTTAGAGCAGGAGTGTATAATTTGCACTTTAATTCTATGCAGGGAACAAAAGGAATCTTTAAAGTTAACTTATTGAATACAAAAATAATGTGGGAGGGAAATCAGGGGAATATGAAACTGTTTAAACTTGAAAGAATACATTTGAGGTCAACAATATTAGACAATTTTGAGAATAAGTGTAAGATTAGCTGGCTGTAAAAATTGTATTTTCAAAGTCAGTAAATACTAAAAAGACAAAGTTCATGAAGTAATTTACCTGTCATACAATGCAAGGGAAGAAAAGGGCCACTCTTAACAATAACTTACCTGCATACCAAAGGGGCTTCTGCATTTCTCCATTCTCTCTACCAGCAGAGGAAATCAGCCTTCAACCTGGCTTGTTTTCTCAATTTCTTGTAGTCTCTGAATCTCTTAACAGTCATGCTCTGTAATACCACCTTTTCCTTTCTTCCCTCCCTGCCAGCAACTTGTATAAGCCTGTTCTCCAAAGACTGATGGTTCTTTGCCATTCTGAACAATCTGACAGTAGGCACATTGAGAAGTTTTGCAATACAGTATGATTTTCTACAGAATTAATGAATTGATTTGGAAAGTTTATCAATAACCAAAACAATTAAAAAAACCCAAAAAACCCCAAACCACTTACCTGCCAGTGCCCATTCACCAGTGCCATGTGAGTGACCACTGTAATACAGAATGTAGGTATCATGTCTGGGTCCATCTGCAGTCCGAAGTTCAAGAAAAGACTTGATCTTGGAGTGTAGGGTATCAAAGGTCAGTCCGCTTGTAGAGTAGTCACAACCGTATGTCTCAATCATGTGATATGCAAAAAATCTTTGGATGGCATTGAGCATGCCAGTAGACCTCAGATTTAACTCTTGGACATGCTCAGGTGGAAGAAGAGTTGGCTGGCCATCAGGACTAAAGAGAAGGAGAACAGCCAATGATTATAGTTGATAATTTTTTCATGCTCAGTGGACTTCTAGTAACTGGTGATTTTTTCCCCTGCACATATTTTCTCTGCTATGAGGTAGCACTGTTCTAAATTCATATTTACTTTAAACTTACAGATTTACAAATTACTGTATTTAAGTGAGGGACCACTACCTATCTCCCTTTTGCCACACTTCAATTCAAAGCATAGTCCTTACTCAGCCCTACACTATTCCTGCAGCTGAGAGACAGAGGGGGAGAAGGAAAGCTCCAACAATTTCATCAAGTCCCACTGAGGAGCACTGCCTTCACAAAGGCACTTTGTCATGGATGACTGGAAAGAAGCGCAGGGAAAATGAGTGCTAATCTGAACAAACCATAATGCAAACTAGTTTCCAATAATGGACAGAAGAGAAATCCACATACACACTTTGGTCAGATACTCTGAAATATGGAATTCACACAAATAAAAAGTAATTCTTTCTTGTTTGTGCTGTTCAGATGCTGTTCTTTCAGCATAAGAAATGTGTTTTAGATAACAGTATTCACAGCTTAAAAAATCAGTTTTAAATCAAAGTTTTAAGAAAGTTTCAAACTAAACCTGGAACAAACCATGTATTTATATTTATGTCTACATAGATATGAATATGCATATATAAGAAAAATAAAAAAGAGTCCCTGGGTTCCAAAATTAATTTTATTTGTATTGTTATATTTTATCTAAAATATAGATAAATATATATAATAAATCCAAATATATACAGTATATAAAATATCAAATAAAAACACACTTTTTTTGTAGGCCTACACAGCTATTCATTAATCATAATAATAGGAAATTTGGTCTTGCAAGACACCCAGTTAGGGGAGCGCCCTTCAGAATGTATTTTCAGAAAGAGAAAAGCATTCATCACTCTTCAGCTGATGTAATAAGGGTAATGATAAGGAACATGACTGACAGCTGGGCCAAATTGGCCTCATTAATACTCAGTTACAGACATGGAGAGGTTTTGTGGGTGAAAATATGGAGATAAATCTTACTCTGCTAATACAAAATATGACATTATGTTTTTTTTCCCTATATATGTATTTATGTGTGTATTCTTCGTGTATTTTGTTTGCAAGTCAATGTGTAAAGCTCTGCCTCCTTACTGACCTAGCTAATTAAATATTGCACCATCTCACCTGTCTATGGCTTTTATGAAAATTAATATTCCACTGGTATAGCTACACAGAATAGCTCATCATTACTGTTTGTCTCAGCAACTGAAGACTGGGTCCATCACTGAAACAGTGAGGCTTTTTTAATAAGGAAGTTTAGTTCTGTCAGGTCCTAGAGAGTTGCTCAAGAGTATCTCATTTGCTCAAAATTAGAGGGAACTGCCTGTGCCAGAAGAATATAATACAATGAATGAATTGTTACCATGGAAACAAAATTAATTTATTTTTATTGTAATGGAAATTTTGAAAATCTGTTTTTCAAATCTGTAATAATAATTGACATGAATTTTTTTAAGGGTGCACAGCTGAAGGACTGTATATCAGAAGCTCAGAAAAATTGTTTTTTACAATATTTAAGATACAGTTATCTAAGATTAGCACATCATCTTTGGTTTCTTTGATGTTAAGTTCTTCCTTATCCACAAAAACCATTACACATACTAAAGCTGTGAAGTTCTCATAAATTGAGCAGTTCTATTTTGAAGCCTCTCATTTCAACTTACTACTCTATTTCTCTTGTAACATGATGAGATAATTTATATAGCTCTTATTTATCATTTATAGAAAAAATGTGCATACACTGATTCAAATTTTATTGCAAAACCAGCATTTGCAAGTTTAAAGCTTATAAGAAAAACACACAAATGGGCAAATAATAATAACAGTACAATCCCTTTACAATCACGCATTTCTCATATGGTAACATTTATGTTGGAACAAAAATCAGCTTCGAATTGTCAACACCAATACATGACATGCAGTCCAATTGCAAATCTAATTTTAATGAGCTTTAAATGTAGACACTACCTCATTTAATTGAATTCAAAGTTATTTTGAACCGATCTGTTTGGTTTATTAAATCTCCTCATGTAAGATACCTGGTCTCAGCCAAATGCCCCAATCCTCTTCTGTATGAGATACTGACTGTGAAATCTGCCTATGCACAGCTGGTCTGTGTTCATCAACTTTCTAAAAGCAAATTACCTAGATAGAAAGCTGGAGTTACTCATTCCAGGGTGAGAAAAAGGAGAAATAGAAAATATGCCTATTATTTGAATTTGTATTTGACTGTTGAAAAATCCAAGCAACAGCACTGCATTGCCTCCATGAGCAAACAGTACATTTACACACTGTGAAGCTGAAACCATACCTGCAAAAGTTGGTGGGAATCACAATAGCATACCCAACACACGTTCCTCCCAAGCAGTTTCCCAGTTCATGGAAAAGCCCATGAGCCATGGACTCCAAAGGTAGAACAATGAGAAATGCACTCATGAAGATCCCATTGGTTGGCTAAAAAGAAAATTAAGAGATTTAGGCATTGTATGAAAATCCTCTTGTTTGATCTTACATAATTGGATCCTGAAACATGCAAAGTATTACTGGCAATGTATATTTCTTTTTCCATGTATTACATCGTGAATTACTGTAAAGACAAATGAAAAGCTTGGGGAGGAGAAGGTGACTGGTAAGCAATGATCACTCTTCTGAAAGAATGCATTTGAAAACACTTGACAGCGCAGAATTCAGCTGTAAAAACTGATCACAGCTTAGTTTTACCAACAGAGGCAAGAAAATTAAATGCCACAAAACTAATTGTGTGCATAAAATAAGATCTGTAAGCATCTGCAGGGTCAGACCTTAATCAGTAAGGCACAGATATTATGTATCTAGCATCAGATGACAATGCTCTGTATTGCATCCATCCCTGGAGGTACTTAAAAGACCTGTACCCGTGACACTTTGGGAGTGGCAGACTTGGCAGTGCTGGGTTAATGGCTGGATGTAATGATTGTAGAGGTCAATTCCAACTTAAAGCATTCTATCATCATTAAAAATATACATTTAACTTGTGGAATACTACATCTCACACAAGAGATGAATTCTAAGATAATTTGTGAGCATTATTTCAATTAAAAAGACAATTCTTTGTCAGTTATGTAACTACCAGACATGAAAAGGACCGTTCTCTACAGGACTTCACAGCATTTACAGAGCTAATACCCTATATTGAACTGAAAAGCAGTTTTAGAAAATATTACACTTACTAGCTGATTTCTGTAAAAAACAAACAAACAAGAAGTTTCAACAATTACATCTCAACCACTAGTACTAGTAAAATAAAAATGGACTTCTGAAATGCCAGATGTCTCTGAGAGGCAGAGCAGATAAAGATTAATTTTAATTATTTTAGCGTGATGTGAATGGGTTTAATGAGGTATTAAATGCTTTAGGAAAGACAGAAACAGTACTATAGTATGCAATTAAACAAGAACTTTAATATCCATGGTGCATTTGTTAAATATTGACGTTTGCTACGTAGCAAAGGAAGTAAATTCATAGCTAGAGATTTCTGTCTTGAGAAGAATCCTGTGGTCTCTGACCCCCTCTATGTTTTATTCACCCTCTTTGTACAAATCTACAATATTAATGGTTTGGGTTTTTTTAATATGGATATTGCCTTACTGTGTAAGACTTAGTGACTTGATGGGTACTGGTAGTTCAACTTAACACAAAGTCAACACTATTAATAACTTGGAAAGTATATTATACTGAAAAAAAATGACACCTAAACCAACCCAGATTTTGTTGGCACATGGCACTAGCTCAACTACATTCAGCTTTTAAACACAACTAGCCTGAGAGAACAGCTTTACCGACTAATATGCTAGGAAGTAATAGATTGCTACCTGTCCTGGTTTTAGAAATCACACTTCTGATGGAAGGATCTCACCTATGTGTCCTTGAAATGGTGACAGCAATACCTCTAATCACAAATAAACACCTGAATCTGGTATTAAATAATAACTAACTGACAGCATTATTAACTGATAGCATTAATTACCTGAAATCACCAGAAGACAGGAAAGCTTAAAACACTGTAATTGGTATTATGGTACCAAACTGGCAAAGAAAATTCCCGAGTACTTGTGAGATAAGGATGTCGCACAGAAATACTAAGGATCATCTCGGTGATCCATCTTGCTCTTTATCTTGCTTTGAGTTTGTACCAAATACTACAACAGAAATGGGAAATAAGCTCTGCAGTGTTATGAATCAACTCAGCTCCATCTGAGGTTTCAACTCTGTCATTTTTTAGTGACCATTTCATGCTGTGGAATAGGAAAATGTTGTGTTTTACATTTGTAGACAATCATCTAATGTAAAGATGCTGGCACTTGCTGTTAGCACTTTTTCAACAGTTTCAATTTAGAAGAAATATGTCACAAATGTAAAAATTATTTATGACGATTAGAAGAAATCTATAGTAGGATAATAAAATATCTTAATCCAGCATTGCAAAAAATGGACTGGTAGCGTTTTAAAAGACCTAAACAATAAGAACTTCAAATAGCAAAAAATATCAGACTTAGTAATTGCAGTAAAACTGAAGACAGGTTCCTCCCTTAAGATAAACAGCTAAAATTCCAGGTGGAAACTGTCAGTGCTTTACTAAATCCCAAAGATTTGATGACTGGTCCTTAATGCAGCAGATGGCCATGGATGCACAGGCAGAGCCAGAAAGGGATTTTGTTCTTTCATCTGTTCAGCCCATTTTCATTGTTTTCGATTGCACTAGCAACGTGAGCCTGCAGTACATCCCTGAGCTCCAAGTACCCATAGATTCCAGACAGATTGCTCAAAAAGCAAACAGAAGACAGGGACCATCTAGGCAATCCTACTACTAAAAAAAACCCCAAAAACATGAGAAATCATTTAGCTCCTAATCTTTGGGGTTTTCTGTTCTGTTGTCATTTTTTTGGGTTGTTTTTTCCCTCTGTCTGTATTGTTCTAAAGGAATTAACAATGAAGTCTCATTTCAAATAACATAGAAAAGGTAAAAGAAAAAAATCTACTTTTTGCCTCTGATGACTGAAATGACAGACAATAAGATTGCTCAGATTTTACTAGCAGTAGTATCTTTCCCCTTTCTCTTTTTTTGAGCACTGTTTATTGTTAAGTGTAACAGTTAATAACACCAGAAGAATTCAGAGGTATTTTACAGTCAAGATGTCTTTTTATACTCATGGACAGGACAACTTACATCCCAAAAAATAACAACTATTTGAAGCTGAATAACTCTGGAACTGTATTTAATTATGGATGTGTGACTGAAGAAAAAAACCCCAAAATGCATAAAATATTAGTTTAAATTGGAAGTCAGTTACGAAGACCTATAGAAGAGCCCTTCTGTTTAGAACAGAAACGAAACACTAAACATATGTCAACTGAGGTGATCACAGGATCACCGAATGGTTGGGGTTGGAAGGAGCCTCTAGAAATTGTCTCATACAAACCACTGCTCACACACCAGGGTACCTGGGATTGCATCTAACAGACCAATAACTGAGACAGCTTACAAAGATGTCTTTGTGCATTTCCAAGCAAAAATACTGCCCTGCTTTACATTATCCAAACTGAATATTTATGTTTTTATACACAGGCACACAGACATTCACAAAACTCCCAAAACAAAATAAGTATAAAAGAAAACCCTATATGAGAAGCCTCAGGAGAAAAAGGGTAACATGTTGACTAATCCACAAACATTTGATGAGTAGCTTATTTCAAATGAGGACAAGATATGTATATTACAGGTAGAAAAAAGCTTAAAGAAAAAATTGGTAAAGCTACACAGTACATCAGCTACCAGAGGAAACAGTCTTATAACAAGTTACTGATTGGACAGTCTAGGGAGATCAAGAAATAATCCTTTACTTCTGACTGTTAGAACAGTAGTGGTAAAATCTAGAAAAGACTCAGCAGAAAACTATTGTCACAATCACTGGCAGATGGATTTAATGTGCTGTGTTCCCCATCCCTGACTCCTGTTCTACCCATGGGAAAGCCTGTGCTTTAATCTATGTGCATTTGTTCCAGCAAAACCACAAACAGTTATCAGTTTAAAAGCATACTAAACACTCTGATGTTTTTAAATAAAAAAACGTGAATCCTGAAATTAATGAAATTTTGACAGCAAGCTAAACACATAATAGACTCTTTAGACTAACAATGAATACTTTCTCTTGTCACCAGAGATCCTCCTCAGGACTGAGGAGCTCTGGAAGTGGTGGTGACAGCAGCAAGGTGTGCTGCCAGTGTGATTTCAGCAGGCAGCCTAAGGTAGCCCTTGGGATAGGACTGGAGAGGTAGAGAGCCAAGGACAGCTGAGCACACACCAAAGACAGGCAGACAGGCAGCAAAAGTACACACAACAGAGGGTGAGTTTGAGAAGAAACAGTGAGCAGTGAGCAATGGGGACTTAGAATTCAGCTTAAGAGCTGATGGAACAGTAGGAAAAGAGGGAATAAAGGTATTAGAAAGGAAACTCAACAGAAAACTCTCAAATGACAGCAAAGCACTGGTATTGAAGGCAAATTGGTAAGAAAGGAAAAAACTGTCAGTGACAAAAACATGACCAGACAGATGAAAAAAAGCAGGAGTGGCATGGATATTTGAGAAAATATGGAAAGAGGCCAGAGGATGCAGCAGGCCTCTGGGGGGAAAAAAAAAAAAAACCAACAAAAAATATCCCCGAACAAACAAAGCCTGAGGAGGATTGGATTAAAAATAGAAGCCAGGAAGTAAACAAGGGTAAAGAGAGAAAGAATGGACATGATTTGCATTCAAGTAATTTAACCTGTGATGTTACTAAAAGTATGTCTAAGTAAATATAGACGTTACTATATATATATACAGGCAACTGCACCAGAATAAAAACTAGAAAATCATTAGCTCTTCCCCAATCAGTAAAGTAGTAAAGTACTCACATATACAGCAAGCTCATTTTGCCTCCTATAAATAATTCAACTTAAATGGTACTTTCTGTTTAGGTATGAGTACTCAAGCATGTAACAAATACTATTATTTTACTAGCCCATAAAATTCGCTAAAACCAAGAATAATGTACTGAAAGTACTTCATTCCATTACTTTGCTTGCTCTAACATAGTTAATTTTTCTCTTGGTAATGTTAAATACAAGCCTTCCAGAAATAATAATTATCTTTGGCCAGTTATACAGAAGACCTTGGCATAGAGCACTTAACAAAATTTGGTTTTAAGTTTCTGAGAAAAAGAGTGCCCCAAACCTTTCCAAGATCTTTGTCTGAAAATTACAAGCTCCCCATCTGCAAATTTTTCATCATTTTATTGGATTCTCAAAGAAGAAATCTGAGTCATTTGCATGGCTTCTTCTGGATCTTGTCCAATCCAAGGGCCTAATTATGAACAGGCACATGATTAACTGCTGAAATAAGTTGGTGCTAAAGAGTCCATTGATCTGACTGAAATTAATCACACAAATGCAAAGGCAGGTGCTGACCATCTCCTGCAGATTTTGCAAAGAAAATCTCCATATATTTTTACCAAGAGGACAAGATATCTTTCCTCTGCAGCTGTAACAAGGAATACTCTCAGAAGCAGACCATGTCCCAGCTGAAACATGCCCCACTGAAAGAAAAGTTGTTACTCCATTTTTTAATGAACCCAACTTCACCACGTCACTCTTACAGTTCTCCCCAAACACCATGAACAGAGACTTTAAACCCTTGTCTTACCAAAGGCTGTGTTCCCCTTAAAGAAAGGGCCTTGTCTAACAGCACCTTTAGCCTCAACAGCTCTGCACCAGTAAGAAAACCACTGTCTCTGCTACAGCCAGTTAATTCACTTCACTTTAAAAACCTTTCCACAAAAGTAGATTTGATATTTTTCTGGCAATTTTAATAAGATACTTCTAGACACTAAGTAACAGACAACTGGTGCTTTAGGTCTTGACTTTTCATACACCTGAAGCACAAATATTGCAGTTATTAGAAATGTTAAGAGGGCATATATAATGCTTGCAAAACATTTTCCATTAAAGGGAACCCCCCCCCCCCCCAACCCTGCTTCCCACCACTCCATTTCTTGCTGTCAGATTTTTTTATAAGCTATTGCTAATTATTTATGGTTGACTGTTAGGAAGCACCTTTCCAAGGCTCAGATTTTTAGCAAATCTATTCATAGGAGGTCAAATGGCAGACCACAAAGTGATTTCAAGCCACCTCTCTTACCAAATGCACTATTCATTAAACAAATTTTCGGTAGTGAGGAAAGGAAAAAACAAAAAATGCTTCACCTTCCAGTGAAGCATTTAACATTTAACAGATTTAAAATATAATTCAGATATATAATAATATAATATATTTAATACATTATATATATTATTACATATAGATACAATATATAATTCAAACATAATTTACACATACTGAAACTACAGAAATCCCAAACTAATGTTACAAAGATTGAAAATTGTTCATCTTACACATGCAAAAAAAATATTTAGAAGAGCAAACACATTTTCAGGAACTGATGACCAAGGAATACTTGGCATTCCTAAGAAACTCTAAGGAAAATTACATTAAAAATGTAAATGTAAAATGTAAAAAAAAAATACCATAATATAAGAATGTATGAATGGCTGTATTAATCTGCACCAAATGTCCATCCAGAAGAATGTCTGGTCTCTAAAGAGCCCAAATGGATGCCTAGGAAAGACTATAAGGACAGACCAAACATGTTTCCCGAGTACTTTAACCACCAGTGGCTCAAGAACTTTCTGAGCCAGATATGGTTTCCAGATAGTCCTCAGACCCCAATGAATTTTGTCCAGCTTCCTCCTGAGCCTTAGTAACCATGGGGCACACATGGCATGCTATGATACACAGCCCCAGAGCTCAAGACCATATGGGGAGCTATTCCTACCTACCTGGCTCCAACCTGCTTCTTGACAACTTGATTCCCCTCAACTTTTGCACTGAAATGATTGTTTATTGTTTATTTTCAGAATTGTTTATTATCTCTACTTTTTTGCCTCCATTTCCTTCTGTCCCTTCGGCAAATTCAAATGCTATAGCTATGACTGCTGATAATCTTCCAAAGAAAAAGCAAAACTACCAACCCCAACAAAGAACCTTACAAATTAACTGTTAATTTCATCTTCCACTAACATCTTTAATACCACTCATCCACAAGATTATTTAATCTAAAAAAATCTGCAGGATTAGAAATTCTACAGGAGTGGGCAGGAAATTGTTCTGGAAATCCTACAAAGAAATGTCTGTAAATCTGATCTACTGTAACTGATATTTTACATATATTATATATATATGTATTATGTTTGTAATTCATATAATAGGTGAATGGACACAAAATTGTTATTGTGGTTTACATCAGTTTGAAAAAGAAAACAGACTCTGAATGTCCTGCTGCAACTATGACAACACACCATGTTGTCACCACAATGAACAAACATTTTTAAAGAAATATAAGCTTTTTGCAAAGAAATATAAGCTTTTTGCTAAAGAAAAGACAACATCCTTAACTCATAAATGGAAAGAAAAGTTAAAGGACACTATGTGATTTTAATGGCTGGTCTTTCAGATATCATATCCTGGGGTGCATAACCAGACTTGAAAGTGAGACACTTAAAGCTCATGTTATACCAGCAATCAGTTTATCAGCTGATCTCTGAGTCCATTTAATTGATTAAAAGCCAGGCAAAATTACTGAAAAATACATTATTTAATACATTTCAATCTAATTAAAATAGTTCACAACAAAAGCCCTAGATTTACTGGGCATTACTAGGGTTAAACACAGTGATTTATTTTGGAAACAAATTTTATGACACAATGAATTCAAAAGCAAAACAATTTCCTGAGTAGATAAATGCAAAATACTTTGCTCACCTCTTTTGCCCTGGAAGCATTACCTTTTCCCATGCTACCAACATAGGGAAGCTGCACTTTCTGTAACAGTCAAGGCAGCTCAAAGTGTTATGTTCAAAGCACACAACAGTGAAACCATGCATTCCAACTTTGAACTGCTAACCCACAGCACACCATCAAATTTTAGGAATTTTATGGAGACAGCAATTCTCAAGATTATTGTCAAGAGGAGATCAAGATAAAGAGATTATTATTATTTACCTGCCAAGAGACAGCTCCCAAAACAGCAGTCGCAACAAGGCTGAAAAACACCAGCTGTTCTGAGATCAAACAGAAGTGACGCATTCCTTTAGATGCCATGACTCTGTCCAGGCTGTTGTTTTCTGCACGGTGAGTATAGTACACCTTGTGGCAGTCATTTAGTTTTGTGTGAAATCCCCAAAGGGTTATAAAAAAAATAACATGACAGATCATCCAAAAAATTCCAAAAATAGAAAAACCAGGTATCACAAAATACCAGAGATCCAAATAACGCAGTTTAAAGGCTGCAAGAATGAAAAAGATTAGTTCAATGACTCCAACTGAGATGACAGAAAGCCGCCTGCAAATTTTACCACGGTACAGGTAGGGCTTCCATCGCTCAGTAACGGAAAGGCCACTGAAGTAAACGTCTAGAAGTGGATCTGAAATGAGGCAGCTGAAGAAACATGCCAAGGCAAAAGGGTTTGTGGGGATTTTCAGTGATGGAAAAAAGAGTAGGGATGCAATGGCCCCAAAAATTGCCAAATTTGGAATTGCCAAAAAAGACTTCATACGTAAGTCAATAATCAACATGGCCAAAGCCAAGACCAACAGAATAATACTTAGAGATTTTTCTACCAGCATAGTTGTGCTGGCAATTGCAAACCCAACTAGCTCCAAAAGTTCAACTGTTGTCAGCAGAGTTGGTCGATGATGGACACAACCACAAATCCTCTCAATCAAAGCACATAATATCCTTAAAACAATGGCAGAGAGAAGCAAATATTTTGTGGCTTCTTCTTTCACATCCGTTTTGAAGGCAGAATTATTGAGAAAACAGAGAAGGCCAAGCAAAAAACCAAACCAAAGATTGGAGAGACTCAAACTTGCTGTTTCCATTGAAAAATAGTAGTACAGTATGCTGGCAATTCCAAGAACAAAGAGCCCCAGAATAAATATTACCAAAATGAGTGCATCTGCAGTTTTTTCCCACCTGACATAAAGGCCCATGCAAATGGCAACCAGTAGGTTGATTCGGGCAAGATAGCCAAGGTATCTGACTGATGAGTGCATGTTCACTTCTCTGTTTGCTTCTTCTAGCCTTGTCATTGCTGCATAGAGACAGTGACTAACACAGTAACGCAGTGACCTACACATGTAAACTGCAGTTAGGGGTTTCACCCACTTGACTGACAGTAAATATTCAGGTTTCATCCAACCAACACAATGCAATTGCTGCCTTCTGTAGTATCATTTCAGTAACAGGAGTCCAGAATCCTTGATGTCCTGGAAGAGAATTAAGAAAAGCTTTAGTGGCACATAATTCCTTTTAAACATACAGAGCATAAACATGACCCATCCCATCTCACAAAGAAGTTTAATATGTAGAGTAAAAAACCACATAATAAAGACCAATTAAGTGCGAAAACCAATATAAAATGGGTTCTGTATAAACCCTATTTCATAAACTAAATGGGAGGAAAACAATCCTGGCCTGGGCAGTTTTCCACAAAACTCATTGATTAGGTATCTGTATTAGATATCTATAGATATTCAAAACCCTTCTGCAATAGTCACTTACTTCTAGAACATTTTAGAATTATTTTAAAAGACTGTTTTATTTCACCATTACATTTGGTAAGTTCTCACTTTATATTAAATCTTTTCAGCATGCTTTGCAAGACTGCCTTTTAGGAGTCAAATAAGTATATGATTTACAAAAAGGACTTCCACTCAGTTAATGAGCATAACCCACAGTGAAAAATGTATCATTATTTCCATTTCACAAAAGGAGAGTGGACACACAGATGTAACAACTGATTTGGCATGGTTTGTAGAGATTTCTCCTAATGTAAAATCAAAGCCTTCATTTGCACCCCTTCAAACCAGTTTCCTCCCTCTGAGGAGGAAAAACCAATGTGATTTTCTTTTTAATATAGTTAGGAATGCAGTATTTTAAGGGGCATTTTGTAATGTTTTGGGCAGAGTCTCACACATAACACATAAAAAGACTTACATGCAGCCTTTATAATTTTTTAAATAATTAACTAATTGCTCATCTTACAGAGACATCTGAAGAGTTACTGATATGAGAGAAATCAGCATGCCAAGAGCACTCAGTGCTAAGTTACAGCTTATTGCTTTTATTTATAATGGTGAAGGAAATGTTACAAGACACCTTGACTCAAATGCAAAATTCAGACTTTATTCTCTCTTGATTTTTAAATTCTCATTTTTTTAACCAGTAAACAACAAATGATAAAGAGATTGACTGATCTGCCTGTAAATTTTGGCAGATTCAAAGACTGACATGCAGTGTAAAACCAGCTTCAATAATTGCAGAAGAAAAAAACTAGGCCCAAGAAACACTATTGTTTAAATTACTTATTTGGTAACATGGAGTTCCAAATTATGTTATATACCCAACAACAATGCAGATATTACCTGGAAGAACTATGCATGAAAAAACTATTTACCTGAAGCAGAATACATACCATATATTTAAAGCAAATTGCTATTACATGAAATTATTGTAAGTTAAAAGTTGTTCAGATTTAAAATGTGCATTTTCATAGTATTCATTATTACAAGTGTTTTACAGATATTGACTTAATTCTGAGTTGCTTGGATGCTTAATATTTCACAATATCTCTCCCCTCACTTAGTAAGGTACTTCCAATTCCTCTCACCCTTTTGTTTCTCCACTATACAGATAAACACAAATGCAAGTTAACTTTCATATTCCAGGTCATGATACTTTAGAATTCATAGCACTGACTGCACCTCACTGTTTCTTGTACTATAATCAACATCCAGTTTTTATGGACAACTTGAACCATTTATTTCAGCTGCTACACATGCTCTTCCCCTGCCTCCAGCTTTCTCTAGCTCAAACCATGAATACAGAGAAATTATTTCCCATCTCTTTTCAACCCACAGCACTAACATGCAATTACTGCTATTCTGAAGAACATATGCCATCCTGCTTATCTGGATTCCTGAGCCTATCTGGAGCCCCTCCAAGTCAAGGGGCTAACCCTATAAACGTTCAGTTTAAGAGCCCCAGAAGCCAGCAGGAATGGACCCTTTGCATATAAGCAAATGTCAAAGCTCATGTCTCACACCTGGCTTAAAATTTTGCTGCGATCACTAAATTGTTTTTTGTGGGATCATTAACAGTAGCAAACTTCCTTCCAGGCAAGCAAGGAGCCACTCTGACAGAGCACAACTCTCACTGGGTCAGCTCGTGAGAACTGGAGTTTTGCTGCCAGCACACCAAGTGAAATGTGAAAGAGAAACTCCTCTGCTCCGGCCCCACCAGCTGCTTTGGCTGCAGGGTGGGGGAACAAATGGGGCAACATGTCTGTTCCTACTGCAAACACACAAAATCTACTTGGGCACAAAGGATTTGCAAAATGACAGCTGACACTGTGAATAAATCTCTTCTTCCTGACCCCACCTTCTAGCCAATTAGCAAAAATGGGTACTCCTAAACCACACTTAGCATTTTTTTACCAAAATACATGGTCGACTTTTTGTGACGTGGAGAAGGTGCATCTTCATGATTAATGTATCCCACGACACAGCTATTACCAAATAAAAAGACAACAGCAATTAAATTTTAAAGAGAAATTTCAATAACTGATTTGTTCTCTAAAACACAGCTATTTGCTAGTAATTTCTGTCAATACTTTGTTTACACAAGGACTGTTCAAAGTTCTGGGTGGGGAGGTAGTGCTGTTGTGTTTGTTTTAAATTAATGGCTTTAAAGTTTCAGGTTGAACACGACTTACAGATCTCAACAAATCACATTAAGATTCAAAACAATGTGGACCCCCACTTTTAAGTATTTGTCAACTTTTGCAAATATAATTTCAGGGAAAATGGAGCCTTATTAACATTCAGAGACCAAACTATCTAATAGCTTTCCTATATGTAAAGAAACACTGCTCTCAATGTAGTTTTTACCCTAAGAAAGTTGGGAAAACAACCAAACCCCAGAGCTGGTTCAGTAGTTAAGCCCAGGTGACACCTATCTAAAATAATGAATCAACTTTCCTTCACCTTAATTCTTCCCGTTCAGCACTTTTCTTCTTTTTAAAGCAATTCTGTAAGTTTTTCTTTCAAAAAACCAAAAAGTCTAATTTATACATTAACACAGCAGACTTAACCCCGGCTGAAGGAGCGCGTTACTTTCCAGATGTTCACACCGCGCCCACAGCGGGGGTCGCCGCTCTGAGGGGAAGGGCGCGCTCCCGGCTGGAGCTGCCCTGCGGGGCCGGCCCGGCCAGGGAAGGTCAGTGACGGCATCG